CTAGCTCTTTCCTCTATTTCCTTTGACTTTCCTCTTGTCCCACTATCATGCTCAGCCTTCATTTGGGTTTCAGTAATTCCTCTTGCTTACATTAATTACCCTTGGTCACACCCTACCAGGCCTCCTACACCCTTCTCAACACTGATTTGGATCACTTGTTGTTCTCTTGTCCCTGGGTTTGTTAACACCACTACCTTTCCCCCCACCTCTCTCTCCCCTGTTCCCCCGGAACTGTTGGTCTGGTTGTTTTCTCCTCCAGATTGTTCATCCAGCCTATCTTATTTAGGCAGAACTGCGGAGATAATAGCATGCACAAAAACAAGACAGAGCAAAACCAAGCAAAAAAAGAAACAACAAAAAGCCAATGACAAAAAAAAAATTAACAAAAGAAAGGCTTGTAGTTCAAGAACTGTTTGTTGGCCTTTAGGAGTATTTCCCGGTTGAGTCTGATGGGGTGCTAAGCCCTGGCCCCCAAATCTATTTTTAGTATTCCTTGGGGACTTCGTTGCTCTGTTTGCCTTGCTGTTCTGTTGCATGCCCTTAGTGCTTTGCCTCAATTTGGTGGGATCAGATTGGGCACACTATTGGCATTTTTAACTCCCTCCAATTCTGGAAACTTTTTGCATCTATTAGTAGTCATAAGGAGGAAGATGTAGTTTTCAATTTGTATAATTATTCAAGACTCCAGATTTCAAATTTGGATGACACATGATTTGCCAATCCCAGTTAGGCTAGTAACTATTTGATGCAAAATTGCTTTTGTATAATAGTTTACTGAGTTGACCTGAAGTTAGCTCAATCACTTTGTGTATATGTTTCTATTGCTACACAAGCAGAATGCGGGTGAAATGAACTAGAAGGGAACTATGTCTATTGGTAGTGTTTCTACTTTTCCAAATGTTTCTTGTTACAAATATTTTCCAGTCTTTTAATCTGTATTTAGTTTGTTTTGTATTTATTTAATCTGTATTTGTATTTTAATCTGTATTTAGTTTGCTGTGCTCTTGAAACCCATTTTCTTTAGCTCTACCCCAAAATTCAGTCTGGCTGAAATCATTTTGGAAATCCTTTTTCATTCTTCTCAGAGCAAGACTCTGCTTCAGATAGATCAGAACTATACCCAGACTCTGGCTGGTGGGTTTCAACTACCGCTGTTGTGGTTGCAGTCTGGTTAGCTGATATGGAGCTTCAAAACATTCATAAAAAAATTAAATTCAGAGATTTCCCAAAAAATTCCTTGAAGGCCCCTCCCATGTATGTGTACTAGGAGCCAGGATGGCACACGGATAAAGCTCTCCACTGCTAAGCGAAAGTCACCAGGGGAAAGGCCTGGCAACCTCCTATAGCAAAAACTAGGAGAAACGCCTAGCAAACACGGAGGGCAGTTCTGCTCTGCCACGTGGGGTTGCTGAGTTTAAACGGACTCTTGGACAGATAGCAAGAACACCCGTGGGACCACGACCCAAAGAAATTTAACAGGAGATGAAACATGACATACCATCTGGAAGACAACGGACACTTGCGGCACCGGCTCCCAAGAGGCGAAAGTGGTCCAGTCAAAGAACAAGCACAGCCGGCGATTGAGAACACTGTTCACAGCACCAGTTTTGCAGGGGATGCTGGGGCACTTTGCTTGTTGACTTTCCAGAGGGCCAAAGAGTGCAGCATCGGCTCAAGTGGGCCAAATATTTAGCAGAAACACTCCCGGGAGTCCTTCTCCAACTCAAGTCCCCTGCGCATTCCTTTATTTTGTGAATTTCTATTAGAAACCATTTGGTACCCACTTTGCAGTATTAATTTGGCCCTGATTTATTTTCTAACGCCAAAATATCTTTTAAAGGTATTCGTTCTTCTGTAGTAAATGATAGGGGAAAGACTGCATTGATATGGTTAAATTTCTGGGACACACAACTCTTTAGGATGGACTAAATGACTAACACCATTGCTCTAAAAAGTACTTTGAACTTGATGGAACTTGAGAAATACATTTTATATTTAAAAACTTGTATTTTAAAAAAACCCCGTATCTTTAATTTTTTTAATTAATTGAGTCTCCAAAATTAAAGGCAATAAAATATAGTTGAGTTCATTAGTAACTTACTTTAGAAAGGGATGAATTAAATAAATCAAAAGATAAAGTAACTTATCACTGCATTTATTATTTTTTATAAAATGCATTTGCAGAAATGTTTCATCAGAAACTGGTGCTACAAAAATAAATATAAAACAAATATACATTTTTACATATGTTAACTTGTAACATAAATACATTTTATTTACATGTTTAAAATGAAAAAAACTCCAGCAAGTTTTGATCATGATTCTTAATATGTCTGAAATATAGAAAAATCATAAAACTACAAACATCACACATTTACTTGTGATTTTGCATTTAGGAGATTGTTCCATACAAATATATGAACAGAATAAGTTTGGGGGCAAGTTTTAAGAGCAGAGTTAGGTTCCCAATTAATTTTTATCTGTGACTAGTATATTTTATAAGCGACTCAATGTTTCATTCTGCTTTGTTCTCTGATTTGAATAATTTAGTACAGATAAAAAATCTCTTTAGTAGAAAGGCTTTCTGAAAAAATTATTAAATAAAAAGTCAATTTACTTGAAAGCCAAAATGTTATTTATTAAGCTTATATATCTATTTAAGGAGCTTTAATTAATGAAAACTAGGAGTTGGATTAGCAAACATCAAAAGAATGGAAGATAGACACTGTAATTTCTGCTTGATGTATTCTGGTAATTTGTCATTTTCGCCATACCTAAGTGAGGCAAAAAGAAAATCATTAAAAACTTAATCACTTGGTTCATATGAGTACCAGAAATTACACATACTTTTTAGTGATTCCTCAGTGACAAGAGATTCTACAAAAAACTTTTACAGAATCTCTGGACTAGCTATCTATATCAAATGAAGTTTTGCAGAATCTACCAAGGGAATGAGCTTCCAGGGAATAACCTGGTTACCAGATTGGAGAGATGAGTACAGTAAATTAAAATGATCACTCCGCCTTGAATGGCTAAAACACTGTCATTGATCGCCCTTTGTATATACTTTCAGCTTGATCTGGGTGTTTTTTGTTTTTGTTTTTAATTTTTTTTCCAGATTGGGGGTTATCTCTATTGTATTATTGTTGGTAGTGCTCTTGACTCTATTATTTACCTTTTTATGTTTCTTGGTTATATGAAACCCAGGCTGGGTAAATCTATAGAAACAATAACTAGAATAAGCATTCCTGCGGGGTACAGCAGGGGAAGAAGGGGGTGCTGGGGAGCTGATATCAAGGAGTACAAGGAGGAAAATATTTTGAAAATGATTGTGGTAGAGATTGTACAACACTGCTTGACATGACTGAACTACCGAATGGTAGGATGTCTGGATTATGTTCTTTTTTTTTTTTTAAACATTTTATTAGGGGCTCATACAACTGTTACCGCAATCCATACACACATCAATTGTGTAAAGCGCATTTGTACATCATTCTCAAAACATTTTCTCTCCACTTAAATTCCCAACATTAGGTCCTCATTTTTAGGATTATGTTCTAATAAAATGATTTGAGGGAAAAAGTTAAGCATACTGTTTGTTTCCTCTTAAAATAGACCAATATCTAAATATATTTAAATAATAAAAAACAAAAATTATATCCAAAACTTGATCTGGGCTTATCATTTTTAAATAAAGTGAAAATCTAGACTACTTTTTAAAATTAAAGGCCCTAATTCTAAAATACTAATCTAATCACACTGCAAATATATATTTATTAAAGTGCCAATAATTTTCAAATAATACCAAGTAAAATTTGAATATATATCATGGAAGCACAAGCTCTACTCATTTTACGTTTGTATCCACCCATATTCTGGAGCATTTAAAAGAGTTTTGAATAAAGCCTCTCACTAGCAGAGTAATAGTTTTTAAATAAGGGCACTGCAGATAGACACATTTAACAGCAAAGACAATGTCTAGATACCCTCAAATTCTATTTGCCAAGTATTTCCTCTATAATAACCATTTCTCATCAAGTAGCATGTTTGTACTGCTATCATCAGTATTTTACCTCTCTTCTATGGACCGAAACATCGAAACCTCATTTTTACCACTGTGCCTGACACATATTTTAATATCAAATGCTTACAAACATTAATTATTTTATATTAGACCATGGGACATAGTCTTCCATTGGGAAAATAACTAGTTTTTACATTAAAAGGCAGATTCCTTATTTCTAAATTCTTTTAAATAAACCTCTTTTAGAAGTCTATCATTTCTAAAAAGGGGTCAAATCACCAACCTAGTTATTAAGCTATGGAATAATAATTTTACAAAAAACCAAGACACTTGTTGAGTGGATGAGCCATACCACTTGCCCTAAACCAATATAGTCAAAATACATATTGAAAGACCACATAACATATAACTCATAGAACAAAGAATTACACTTGACTAGCATTTAAGAACATACCTAGTTGTTTGACCATTTGGTGATGTGTAACTGATGGAAGACACTCCTGCCTGCACGACCAACTGGGATCCATCATTAAATTGAACCCATACAGCTCCACTAGTTAACTGAAAAAAGAGTTTGCATGGAAAATGAAGATGTAGTAGAGAATTTCAGGTTCCTAAAAAGTACTTTTTAAAACAAATTTGCAAAAAAAGAAAAACACCTTCCAAGTAACTTCAAATTTGGGACGGTGATGATAGTTGTGGTTAGGATACTCATTCTTTTTAAGATTACTCATGTAATAAGTAGGGCACTATAACATTAAAAATACAAATCCTTTTTACCATTAATTTCATTAAGATATCTATCTGGTAATTTTTCAGTTTTTCATAGGCTATTTCTAGCCAAGAAGAGATTGAGGAAATCATCGCAACAATTTCTAGAAACAAGATCTACTTATGCCACACATCTTTTCCTGTGCCCAAGAACTTTTACATCTTAGCTTTGGAAACTGGCTCCCATAACTTTAATATTTAGAATGTCATTCCAAATAAGGTGGTATATAATAAAGTAAAAAAGATACAGACTCCACAGTCATCACACGTTAATTTACACTTAAATTCTACCAATTTCAAGAGTGCAGGATTACGTACCACGGTTTGTCAGTTTGTTGCATGTAGTGGATTGGGCGCTGGTGTGATAATGGAAGCTCTGCCAGTGGTATTTCAGATACCAGCAGGTCAATCATTATGGTCTCCCAGTTTCCCTTTGTGTACATTCATAGTGCTTATTTTTATCATATTGTGTACATTCCACATTCTGACTAATGGATGTTTGTACCTGTCCACCCATGGAAAGTTTCCAGCAGAGCTTCCAGACTAAGACAGATTGAGAAGGAAGACCTTCTGATGTACTTCTGAATATACTGGCTACTGAAAACCATAGGGGTAGCAATGGAACACTGGTATAGTGTTGAAAGATGAGTCCTCAGGTTGTAAGGCACTCAACATGACTGAAAAAGTGCCGCTTCCTCAAGAAGAGTCAACATTAATGCCACTGATGGAGGAAAGCTTCTGGGATCTTTATTTGATGACGCGAGATGACTCAGTACAAGAAGACACAGTTGCAAGCATCCATTAATAATTGGAATGTGGAATGCAAGAAAATTGGAAGTTGTCAAACATGAAAATCCGTAAGATCAGTAACCTAAGAACTAGGAGCAGAAATGGCTGGTGAAGAGCATGTGACACTCTACACTCGTGTGGGTTACTGTGCCGGGAATGACAAACAGTGACAGCACAGCCATCACCAACACGAGCATTTCAAGAAGTCTCCTGAAGTACAACGATAACTGTGATAGGATGGTACCTATACATATACAAGGAAATTCAGTTAATCTATCAATCAAATTTGCACACCAATCACTAAAGCTGATGAAGAAATGGAAGAATTCTACCAACGCCTTCAGTCTGAAATCTATCAAATATGTGATCAAAATGCACTGATAATTATCAGTGATTAGAACAGGTAAATGTTGGAAACAAAGAGAAGTACTGGTTGTTGGAATATAAGGGTTCGAAGATATGTTTATTTAAAGCTAAAGATTGTTTGTTTAAAGCTAAAGATTGCAAGACTAAATTTTGCAAGACCACCAACTTCTTCATTGCAAACACCTTTTCTCAACATAAACGGCAAGCTATGCGTGTGAACTTCACCGGACGGAATACCTAGGAATCAAACTTTGGAAGAAACAATTGGGGAGGTTCGTTTTGATTGCCAAGACAAGGCCAGGTGCCTACTTTGAAACAGACTATCAATTGTTCATATGCATGTTCAGGTTGGAGCTCAAGATTATTAAAACAAGTTCATGAGAGCCAAAATACATCTCTGCACATATCCCACCTGAATGTAGAGACCACTTCAAGAAGAGATTTGATACAATGAACACTACTGAAGAAAGATATAATGAGTTGTGGGATGACATCAGGAATACCATACACAGAAAAAGGAAAAGGTCAGTAAAAAGGCAGAAATGAAAGATAAGGCCAAAGTGGATGTCAGAGAATCCGAAACTTGCTCTTGAATGCAGAGTGGCCACAGCTAATGGAAAAAATGATGATGACGAAGAGGTGAACAAAAAATTTCAGAGGGCAGCTCAAGTTGACAAAGTAAAGCGTTATAATGAAATGCACAAAGACCAGGAGTTAGAAAATCAAAAGCGAAGAACACTCAGCATATTTCAAACTAAAATAACTGCAGAAAAAATTCAAGCTTTGAGTCACAATAAATACTAAATGTTGTGGGGAAAATATTAAATGATATAGGAAACATTAAAAAAAAAAAGGAAGGATAAGATGATACCAAGGGCTCAAGTAGAAAGAAAATGTTTTGAAAATGAAGGCAACATTTGTACAAAAGTGTTTGACACAATGGATGGATGGATTGTGATAAGAACTGTATGAGCCACCAATAAAATGATTTTAAAAAATATGGAAGGAAAATGCTTTGAAATTGATTGTGGTAGTAATTGTACAATAGTGCTTGATGTGACTGAACTATGAAATGACCTATCTGGATTATCTCCGAATAAAATGGTTTGGGGGAAAAAAGATGGAATACAGAGTCACTCTGCCAAAAATAACTGATCAATGTTCAACCATTTCAAGAAGTAACGTATGATTAAGGACTGATAGTATCGAAGGAAGATGTTTCCAAGCTACACTGAAGGAACTGGCAAAAAAGCAAGGCTTCAGGAATTGATAAAATACCAATAAAAATGCTTCAACAAATTGATACAGCATTGGAAGTGCTCACTTGTCTATGACAAGATAGCTACACGATCAATCAATAAGCAAAGATCCAAATTTCCATCCAATCCAAAGAAAGGGGATTTAATAAAATGCAGATATTGATATCCATGCTAGTAAAATTGTGCAGAAGATAACTGAAACAGGATCCTGACAAGAAACTACTAAAAATTCAAGTCAGATTCAGAAGAAGTAAAGCCAGAATGTTCCTTAGAAGAACGTACTCTGGCTTTTCGGCGACTGGGAGGTTCAGTTGGACCGCCGTCGTCGGACCTCGTTGCCCCCAAGCCGCTAGTCAATAAAGTGATTGGTTCGCAAAAAAAAAAAAGAAGAAGAACGTACTCTGGACATTTTATTAGAGAAATGAGTCCCCGGAAGATTATTGTGCTTGGTACAGTAAGGTCTGCAGAAAGAGGAAGACCTTCAAGGAGAGGGGACGACAGCATGGCTGCAATAGTGGTCTTGCTCAGGCATGGCAATGGTGGTAAAGATAGGGCAGGGTTGGGCAGTACTTCATTCTGCAGCACATACGGCAATATGAATCGGAACTGATGTGTAACACTTAACAACAAGATTACTCAAGTCAATTGATCATTATGAGCCCAGATTGCCTTATCTCCAACAGAAAATATCTTCTACTTCACTGTTATCTTGGGGTATAAAGGAGACAATATATATGAAAAACATGGCAAATATTAACATCTAAACAAACCTTTTAAGTTTGAAAATTGTTGTGACCTTAACTTATATACAAATGCTTTCCTGCCAAAAACATTCTTCTAGTAATATTTAAAGTGCTCCTGACATCACTTTGTAGTCTTTACCATTAGCCGTTATTATGACTTCAAACTTTAAAATACAAAAGGTAAATGTGTGCCCTATCAAAAAGCCCAGGGGCACAATTATGTGCTCAGTTACTAGCCAAAGGTTAATGGTTTGAAGCCACCAGCTGTTATACAAGAGAAAAATGTGGCACTCTGCTTTTGGATATAAAAATAATAATTTATAATTTCTCAAGGGGTTATGAGGGGGACAGGGAAGGAAAAAAAAGAGCTGATGCCAAGGGCTCAAATAGAAATTAAAGGTTTAGAAAATAATGATGGCAACATATGTACAAATATGCTTGATACAATAATGTATGAAATGTTGTAAGAGCTGTAAGAGCGCCCAATAAAATGATCTTTTAATGAAAAGGAGATTACACCTTTGGAAATCTTGCTGGGCAGTTTTCTTCTGTCCTACATGGTCGGTGTGAGTTGAAAGTGACTGTAATAATGGGACTGGTTTTGTTAGGGACGCTCTATCAATTTGTTATTATCAATATCCAGAATTTTTCACGCATGTGAAAAATAATACATTACAAGGTTTACTGATATAAGCAATTTTAACAATGGTGGAAACATTAAAACAAGGAATCTTAAAATGATTTTTTTTAATTATCTAATTACTATGGAAACCAAAACAAATTCATAAAGAAAAATGAATTTTTCTAGGAACTTCTCACCTGTGTAGCCCAACCAACGTTTTTCACAAAAACAGATTTCAAAAGCTGTGCTGATTTGGGAAGACAATGTTTTAAGCTAGAAGAAGAGCTGTCTGTTCTAGAAGCTGCAGCTGTAAGGTCACGTTCTTCATTATTGGCCATCTATAAATAGTAAAGGACAGGAAGACATTACTCCTCAACAACAAAAAACAAGCAAACAAATAATTTCCACAAAAGCTGAAGCTAAAATTTTAATTTAAAAGATATTTTAAAGATTATTTTTTAAATTAGAATTGAAAATTTTAAGCTAACAGCTTGTGTGATCCAAAGATGACAAGTACAAAATTCAAACATGACAAAGGGAAAAGTATCAGAGTTTAAAGAGTGAACACCTCATTTGTGGAAGGCTTTGGAGGACAGTGGGATCCCAAACCCATCTGCAGCTATCTAGTTAGATGAAGCAGCTGGCCGATTCCCTCTAGCCACAGGCAAAGTCTGGAACAGCCTTGCTATCTAACACAGGTCACTGTAATCCCCATGAGGTGGATCAAACTTGATACTCGGCCAGCTGACCTCCTCTCGACCCAACCTGAATTTGTTCTAGGTGCAAGGGTCTCTTGCTGGACCCTGCTTTTTTGGTTTTGATGCAGGTCTTTTCTTTCCTGCTCACTGTGGGAGTTTTACCTTTATATTGCTAAGGTTTTGTCCTAACCACTTCATTTAGTGTTTGTTCTTTCTGAAGCACAGAAGGAGTGGATGAACAGAGATAATACCTGATGCAAGGGTTTGGAGGGGATGTAAGGTGGGGGGTAGGGACATGGGGAGGGGGAGGGAATTTTGGGAGTAAACAGTGAAGGCAGGAGGGGGAGGAGCACTAGAACGGAATATGATTACACAGCTCATTTTAGGTGATTTAGTCAAGAGGGAGAACAAAGAAAGAAAACAGTTTGAAATTGCGTGTGGTAGAATAACTGCACAATTCTCCTTGACACGATGGAACGACTGAATTGTGTGATGTGGATTATGTGACAATAAAACGGCAATAAACGAAAAAATTTAAGTTAGGCTAAAAAAGGCACTTAACCATGGAGAGAGGGCTAAGAAAGGAAGAAGGCTACAAAGAGGAAACAGAAAGGAAGACGTGACGGCACATATTACGGATGGAAATGGATCAGCTGAAATAAATATGTATAAACTGTTCATTATAAAACTCATGAGCTGCTCTCTCAGCCTTCAGCTAAATCACACGCAAAAAGCTTAAAATAAAAGTAAAATATAGCTACAATATGGAAAACTAAACAGAAACAGAATGTCATCAGTTTTTATTTTATTACTTTCCGTTTTCCTTCAAAGTATAACTTTTTTCACAGCCGCAGTCATAGTATGTATGTATGTATGTGTGTGTAAACATACACCTATTTCTTTAAAGGTCCATTTTTCATCAACATTGCTAAATAGTAAATAGTCTTTAGTAGCCATCACTATCGTGAATTTATTAAGCAAAAATATGCTATTTAATTGTGTGCCTACAATTAAATTCAGAAAATATATATTTACCAGTAAAAACAATATACTATTATTATATTTAGCTTTGTCCCCAAGGGTTTAGGCTAGGTCTCAGTGGAGCAACATTTAAGCTAAGATATGAACATTTACCCTGAGACCAGAACAATCAGATGATGCCTGTCTATCACTATTGATCCTCTGATCAGGGCCACAGCACATGGGCCCTGACAGAACAGGAAAAAACACAGAACATAACTCAAATTCTAAGAAAGTTCAGACTTACTACTGAGATTAGAAGACTCCCTGAAACACCCTCTAAACCTTTAACTAAAACCAACTCAAGGTCATATTTTAGCAAAATAACAGAATAACACACAAAATAAAGGATATTACTCATGAATCAGATTCTCGATTAAAAAACCCAAACCATCTCTATCAGTGGTTCTTAACCTGTGAGTTGCGGCCCTTGTGGGGGTCGAACAACCCTTTCATAGGGGTTGGCCAATTCATAACAGTAGTAAAATTATAGTTAAGAAGTAGCAACAAAAATAATTTATGGTTTGGGGATCACCGCAACATGAGGAACTGTGTTAAAGAGTTGCGGCATTAGGGAGGTTGAGAACCAAAAGGCCATCAAATTATTCTAAAGCAAAGGTGAGAAGATCCTGGGCAGGGCAAACAGAGCACTGGACACTGAATAACTAGGAAGCAGTTCAAGAAAATGTTGACATATTGTGGAAAATGTTTTAGCTTAAGAGCAATGAACAACTCACATAGAAACTGCCAAATGGGAAGCTAACATGGACATTTTCTCCGAAAACAAAATAAACTATTATTAAAAACCAGATCTGATTTATGAGAAAGAATTAGCTATATGAAGTTATGGAGCCAAGGGAAAAAGCGTTCCAGGACAAGCCCAGAGGGTATGAAAAGGCAGTCTGACTTGTTTAGAGAACTACAAGAGGGCCATGGAGGTACAAGCAGCCAAAATGCGGGGTAAAGTGACCAGGATGAAGCAGAAAACTAAGTGGGGCCAAGGTAAGTAGTTTTAATTTCCCTTGAAGGGCATTAGGCAACTATTGAGAGTTTGAAGTCAAAAGTTTCATGAATTTACTTACCGAAGGACTAAGTACTGGTGCCTGTTTTACAGATGTAGCGCTATGCATCCTCACTGTATCTCTCATTGAGTAATCTGGGTCCACAGGTGGTGATAAGGACTTAGGTGAACTGGTACTTCCAGGTTTCCTGAAAGAGAAAGGAATGTTAAAATATGTTTCCTTAAAGTTTTCAATTCACAGAAAACAAAAGACTTGTTAGAAAGAAAATATTAAACTACTTTTTCAAAAAAATTCTATAAAATATTTCAAATATTTACCTTCCTATAATTATTGGGAAAAAGGGAGCACTTCCATGTTTCCTTTCCTCTTCAGAAATTACAGATTCCAATGCTAAACAAATACGGTGACTCTGTTCCAAAAGAAGCGTATTTTCCATCATTATTTCATTCATGCCATTTATAATCACCACTAATTTGAATAAAAAATATATTCCATGTAGATACACACCTCATTGGCATGGTCCAAATACACTGTCATTTCCTCTTTCAAGCTACTAACTTCTCTTTCACCTTTCAAGGTGTAAGACTTCCCAGTCTTCTCAATCACATGAATCAAATCTTCTGTTTTGTGTATTTTGGCTCCTAAAGCACACAGAAAACTTCCCTTTTATCATTTCTTTAAAAGTTCTATATTCGTATGCTTTACCAAGCATTACATTAGGGCACATCCATGAAAACACCCTTATGCTCAGTACCACGTCCATCAGGTTGGCTCCCATTCACAGAGACACCACGTAGGGCTTGGGAGATGTCCGTAACTCTTTCTGGGAGCACACCAGGTCCTCTCTCTGCTGTGGAGCAGCCGCTGGGGCTGTACTACTGACCTTGATGCCAGCAGACTAATGCCTAGGCTGGAGTGCCACCAGAGCTTCTTTTATAGTACTGAATGACCATTAATAAAATGAGGTTCTCAAAGTATTTACTATATACGCCATCCTTTTTCCCCCCTACATATTTATGGCTTAAGCCTGATAACTTGATCCCATTAAAAAAATTACTGCCGCAATACAAAAACATAGTTGAAGAATCGCCACAATATGTATACTGTGTGTTCCATAAAACAGGGAGTTTTACAGATTAAAAAGTTAATCATCTTTATGGAATATATTTTAAAAATATGATTCTCTGTGGTGCAACCTGACCTTTCCCCACTTTTGTAATCCTCATATTTTGACATATGTTCACTTGAGTTTCAAACAGGAAACAGGATTTAATTATTCATGTTATTTTTAATTTTCAATCTGATGCCATGAAACTACAGTCAAATTGGAAAGAGGAACGATATATAGTGTATATTAAGTTCTTTTCAGGAAGGGATAAATAAAAATTTTAATCAATCGAATTTGGTAAATCACACACTATACCATATAATTACTATGTACAGCTATATACACACACCACACACACACACACACACAACAGACCGGCTGTATCAATGAAAACAAAGCCTCACAAGGACTAAATTACAAAGTAAAGGAAAAAAATAATTCCCATCCCTAGATGGAACTTACCATCATAAAACCAAACTTCAAAATCAGCACCAGGGGAATTCTCCATCAAAATACATTTCGCATATTTTGTAAAATAGGTGATTTTGGGAGATTTAGATCTTACAAGCTGAACAAATCTTGAAGCATATTGATATTTTTTCCAGTACTTTTCTAGAGGGATAAATGCAAAACTATATATAAGATATTGCTGACATGTCATATATATTCCATAAATATACTTTTAATATTTATTTCTACTTGTCCCCAAACATTAAGTTGATAAGTTTGTAATCCCATTATAGAATAAAAATGTCAATAAACCTAAGTTTATAAATTCCAAGGAAAAATGACGGCACCATAAAAAAGTTCCCAAAGAAATATACCATTAAATATATGCAATGACTAGTATCAGGAGTATTTCAAATTTTCCTTTTTTGAAACCACTGATTCCAGATTTTGATTTAAGGTAATGATTCTAGGAAAGTTTTTAATACTTCTTTCCTGAAAATGTATCTACTTTTTCAAAACCAGCTGACTTCCAAGAAGTTGCTCTTTTTGTGTTGGTAAAGTATGGAGCTACAGTCCTGATAAACAAAAACAAATCTTGCTGGTGTCTATAACAATGATCATTTGGAGTATTTAACATTCTTATATAGCAGATTTGATTTCTTAATAGTATTAGATTAGATACTGTTTTTAAAAAGGCCTATAATTTACCTGTAAGGTCTCATTGCTCAGTACTTCCTCAATCCCTAAGTTAAACCTGAGTTAGGAGTCAAATTTGCCTAACCAGAATATAAATTAAAATGATCATTTAGGTAGCACAGTAATTATTCCAACTAAACAAGCACACAAATGATACCTGTGCTATATGGTTGAGCTAATCTTACTAACTAAATAAACATTGAACTCATGATTAATAAAGTATATCACATCTCACCAACTATAAAGTACCTGAACATGATCTGTAACCTGAATGAAGTAAAAATATTCAGAGCCTATCATATTCACATATTATGTAAATAAAAATCTAAAAATAGCTAAATTTATTCCACAGAAAAGTTCCATACCTGGCAAGTTGTCAAAACTGTACCTACTGATGTTGTCAGTAGGTGAGGGCGGTCTATCAGCAAGAGGAAAACCTCTTCCATCGGGTGGATAATAAATAGTGATCTGCCCCCCCCAAAAAAGAACTCTAATTATATAAAGCTAAATTAGAACACATTTTATTATTAAACATTACCAAATTTACATGTAACATTGAATATTATTTTATTTTATTGAAAACTGTGGATTATCCTTAGAAGTAACAAGTTTAACAAAATAATAATTTATAAATTATCAAGGGCTCATGAGGGAGGGGGCAGCGGGGAGGGAGGGGGAAAAAAAAAATGAGGACCTAATGCCCCTAATGCCGGGGGCTTAAGTGGAGAGGAAATGTTTTGAGAATGATGAGGGCAATTAATGTACAAATGCGCTTTACACAAATGATGTATGTATGGATTGTGATAAGAGTTGTATGAGCCCCTAATAAAATGATTAAAAAAAAAAGTAACAAGTTTAATCACTTTTTTAAAAAGCTCAAAATTTAGATTATTTGTTACCAGTTTATATTTTTATAAAGCTGCATTAATTTACATGCTATTTCAGTGTCTGAATTCTAGAGACGGTATTATTTTAGGAAGCCAATTTTTAAAACTGAAAAAGAAAAGTCAGTGTAGAACAAATTAGAACAGTAAACATTTAGGTGATGATTGAATCTACAACATAATAAAGTAAATCCACATTACCATATTCCCATCACTAGATATTTGCAGAACTTCTTTCACATATTCTTGAGATGCATACTCTTTTAGAAGCTCCACACATACCTCCTCTGAATCAAGTATGCTCACCTAAAATCCAAAACAATCATTAATAACAATTCTCTTGTTTCCCAGAATATCTTACACTTAAAGAGAGAGAGAAAAAAAAGAGTACTTAACCATGGCAGGAATGAACTTAAAATAAAAATCAAATAACTGCTTCACTAGGTGCAACAGCCTGGATCAGAGATACATCTGAGCACAACTGCAGACCATAAGGCACAAAGATAAGAATGCATAATGAGGTGTGAAATGATAACCAATGAGAAAAATGAAGGCAGAAGGTAGGGTGGGGATTAAGGACTTTGAAAAGACAATAGCAAGATAAACAAAGACCCACTGGTGACATGGGAAAAGAGGCCAAACAGATGAAGGCAAAATGTTTTAAAAACAATCAACACCATTCCCATTTCATACATGACATTTTAAAACTCTATTATGAATATTCCTTTTCTTAAATTTTAATTTTCAGATAGAAAATTAGTTCTTTATTTTATTTTTGAGACTAGTGTGAAACTATGGGGAGGGGAAGCAAAAGAAACATGAGAATAAGTCAAAAAGTATCACTATGAGTTCTAGTTTCTACAAGCACAGGTTTATTCCAAGTACATTTAAACATATCTCTGTGATGAGTGGCGGGCTGCAGACCAGTTCTTCTCTCAGGAATACACTCAACTTAGTTTCCTGAGGATGCCTTAAAAAAAGGTCAATCAAAACAGGGGCTTCCGAGTGGATCTGTTGGACAGGTTATATTTGAGGAAAAGAGGTCAGCTCTGCTTGTGGAGATAGTTTCTTTGGAATTCAAAGCAGTAATTATGACAGATTTTCTTGAATAACATAAGATGGATGATCACGGAGGCTGATTAAAAAGAAATTTTAAGAAAATGAAGAACTGCATTGGTGAGAAAAATGCCAAGAACATGGCACTAAGGAATGTTTGCCCATCACGACAAGCACCTATTCATTCTTCAAGGGTAGCAAGGACTGTCGTAAGAGAATTTCATTGGGGAACCTTATCCCAGCCCCTACAGCAGTGGTTCTCAACCTGTGGGTCATGAACCCTGTAGGGGTCGAATGACTTACAGGGGTCGCCTGATTCAAACAGTAGCAAAATGACAGCTATGAAGTAGCAACGAAAGTAATGTTATGGTTGGTGGTCACCACAACATGAGGAACTGTATGAAAGGGTTGCGGCATTAGGAAGGTTAAGAATCCCTGCCCCACAGCCTTGATCTTGTCCACTCAAAGACTTCTTTTTGTTCCCAAAACACGTAATACATTTGAGTCCTTCAAGAAATGCCAAACTGACATACTGTAGTATAAATCAAAGAGCAGGGTATTCTTTAGGGAAGAGTTAGAGAAATAGAAACACTGCCTTCAGATACGTGAAGATTTAGACGGCCAGTGCAGCAACGATGCAACATACAACTTTCCTCTGGTTCCTAAATGCTTCCTTCTACCTCCTCCCCCCGCCCTCCCTATCATGTTCCCAATTCCACCTTACAAATCTGGCTACACCAGATGATGTACACTGGTACAGATAGGAACTGGAAACACAGGGAATCCAGGGTGGATGATCCCTTCAGGACCAGTGGTGTGAGTGGCGATACTGGGAGTATAGAGTGAGGGTAGGTTGGAAAGGGGGAACCAATTATAGGATCTACATGTGACCTCCTCCCTGGGGGATGGACAAGAGAAAAGTGGGTGAAGGGAGACGTCGGACAGTGTAAGATATGACAAAATAATAATTTATAGATTATCAAGGGCTCATGAGAGAGGGGGGAGGGGAAGGGAGGAGTGGGGAGGGAGGGAGAAAAATCAGGAGCTGATAACAGGGGCTTAAGTGGAGAGGAAATGTTTTGAGAATGATGAGGGCAATGAATGTACAAATGTGCTTTACACAATTGATGTACGTATGGATTGTGATAAGAATTGTATGAGCCCCTAATGAAATGATTAAAAAAAAAAAGACTTAGATGGCGGGGAGGGGGAGAAAATGAGCTGATCTGATATCAAGGGTTCAAGTAGAAAGAAAATGTTTTGAAAATGTTCACAACATATATACAAAAGTTCTTGACACAATGAAATGTATGTATAGATTGTGATAAGAGCTGTACGAGTCCCCAATAAAATGATTTTTAAAAAAAAGACTTAGATGGCATATGTCAAGTAACAAAAGGTTCATATTGGGATATTTTTGTTTAATAAAGATTTCTATGTACTTGACCCAAGCCAGGGTATTTGTTAATCTCCTTATATGCATATGTGGGAGCTGGATAATGAATAAGGAAGAACCGTAGAAATGGATTATGGTGTTAGTGAAGAATATTACGCTACTAGGAACTGCCAGAAGATCTCATCTGGGAAGAAGTGCAGCCAGAACGCTCTTTAGAAGTGAGGATGGTAAGACTCAGCCTCACATACTTTGGATACGTTATCAGGAGAGACCAGTCGCTGGAAAAAGTACATCATGCTTGGTAAAATTTTGGGTAACAAAAGGGAAAGCTCAATGAGATAGACTATACACTAGATGCAAAAATGGGCTCAAATGTAGCAAGACTTGTAAAGATGGTACAGACAGATGCAGGTACAAGGGGTGCGTTGGAATCAATTTGATGACACCTAACAACATACATTAAACCCATAACTTTCTGACTTATTTTCATATTAGATACTAATCTGGTGATCATAATTACAAATAGAATATTTAACAGGACAGCTATTATTAGTTTAATATTTATTTTTTACTACCAATAATTTAAAGCAACGCCGTATCAAGTCACCATTCCGATACTAGCCAGGAGTCTTAGTATTAGATATGAAGTTGGTGTTTGGACCCACCAGCCATTCTTGACAAAAATGAGGCAGTTGGCTTCCATAATGATTCACAACCTCAGAAACCCCAAGAAGCAGTTTTAAAAATTTGTAGAGTGGAAATCAAGGTGACAAAAAAAGTGCATATTGTAGTCAAAGGGAAACAAGAGCTACTCGCTGTATATCCAATCCTCTTTTCCCTTTAAGTGAGCTTATCTTGCACACCCCAAAGGCGAGGGACATTAAAAAACTCCAAACCAAAGTCACCGGCAGAAAGTCAATTCTGACTCATCATGACCCTACAGAGCAGGGATTCTCAACCATCCTAACGCCTCGATCCTTTATTACAGTTCCTCATGTTGTGGTGACCCTCCAACCATAAAATTATTTTCGTTGCTACTTCATAACTACAATTTCGCTACTGTTACGAATCAAGCAACCCATGAAAGGGTCATTCAACCCCCAAAGGGGTCGCGACCCACAGGTTGAGAACCACTGCTATAGAGAAAGGCAGAACTGCACCATGGGTCTCTGAGACTAACTCTTTACGAGAGTAGAAAGCTTCTAAGGAGTGAATTGTGGTTTTGAACCGCTGACCCCATAATTAGCAGCCCAGCACATAACCACTATGCCACCAGCATTTTATCAGGAATTTAAAAACACTATGGACAATACTGAAAAAGAAATTCTAGAGAAAAATGCCACATAGTAACTTAATAACAGACATACCACAGCCTTTTTGGTTTTCTGTCTGATTGGTTTTAGTCTGTAAGCAGTCAGAGGAGAGGTAATGCTTCGTAACGTATAACCTGATGGTGACTCCATCACCCTAGTCTTGCTTTGTTCCGGAAGAGGGTCATAAGCAAATACAGATTTTTGTTGAATCATCTCAGGTTTACTATGAAGTGCAGGCATATAGTTCATGGGATTCGGCTGTTTGACAGAAGGTGCATTGACAGTAGCATCAGGACTGGTTTTGGCTCTTCTATCACTCCAGGCATTTCTTGCTGTGTCCTTCTGGAAATCTGGATGACCCTGGAAATCTCTGCATGGGGTAATGCCGTGATGTTCAGTGGGTTCTCCTAAATGAGCTATAATATACACACAACAAAGCAATTTAGTGAATAATGAAAGAGCCAATACTAAACCCAAAAATGACATACTGGTAGAACAGGTATAATAGCTTTTTTTAAAAAAGGCAAAAAATACAATCTAGTGAAAACAAACAAAAATATCAAAAAAATTTTAGTAGGTTGATGGAATAATAAAATGGTGACCTTAGTGGTGACATTTTCAGCCCATAGGTAGAAGGGATACCTTTACTAGTCTTAAGTTTAAGAAAGAAGCATATTACTATAAAATTATTACTTCACTTTAATGAAAAACTAGTATCCTTCTGGTTACCTACTAATTCTAAAACAAGGAACAACTAACTACCAGTGATCCAACAAAATCAAATTTGAAAGGAATTGAGAGGCAATTATTCTATACAGGAAAAACATGTAAATTTCTTATCTTTAACGTAAGGACTATTCCACCTTCACTTAGGAAAGATGCTATTAAAAGCAGAAAGACTTTAACATATGAAATAAGTTTGAATTATTAATATTAAATGTCATAAATGCATTGTCTTCACACAAAAATTCTTGTTAAAATCTAGCCAATTGAATTTTACCAATTGTAGTTTCTATAATGTTGAGTTTACACATGAATACTTTAATTTTAAGTCTTTAACCTACAAGCAATTTTTCAAATGTTAAACTCTAGAAACTTATATTGCAACTTTTCCCCCTTAAATGACTTTTTATTCCCATTATGACAAAAATACTTTATTATCAAATAGCATATTTTTAAGTTTTAGCAGGATTACTAGATAATTATAGTTATTTTTCTAGCTCAGATACCTCCATGTTATCAGGCGAGATTATGTAGTAAATATAACAGAAGGTTAAGAGCAAGATTAATTCTACAACAGTTTTATGGTTTAAAAAAAACAAACTTAATTTATCAACCCCTACTACCACATTTGAAAAGATTAATTCCCTTTTGGCTTCCTGAAAATAATACACACTTAAAAGAAAGAAGGAATTAACTCGAGATTACACGACAACTCTGCTTAAATTACAGCCATATTATATCATCTTTGTCTGTGATGTAATGTAATACTTAGTAAAAAAAGTTCTCCTCCTTTCCATATGCTTCTTTTTTATTCTCTCCCCTTTACTTCATTGTTTTCTAGCCCACCTTCTGTGACTGTCATGTCCATTAGTGATGAATGCTTTAACTTCAAATTATATGCATAAATCAAATTACTTAGATGACAGCTGTTTACGTTTTAGCAGTGGTATACGTTAGCCTATGTGAAGTCTAACTAAACCTTCCTAATAAACCATAATGTCTGGATCTGCTCCTACTTAAAAATAAGATCAAGTATCTTGCAATTATTTTATAGGTACTGGTGATAAGTATTTATTACAGAGAGATCGCAAGAGCACAGGAATGAAGAATAAACCCTATGACAGACTTCTTGGGACCTAATAGCTGTGAAGCTTGGAAAAATTAAGCTCTGTGTACTAATATTTCCTTATCTGTAAAAAATGGGAATATCGCCTACATTTTTGGTGAGAACTTAATAATACATTTAAAAGCATTATAAACAGTGGCTGACTTATAGTAAACACCAATGTTAACAGTGATTACGTCTATGCAAGAGGTTCTCAACCTTCCGAATGCTGCGACCTTTTAATACAGTTCCTCGCATTGTAGTGACGACGCCCCACCCATAAAATTATTTTCATTGCTACTTCCTAACTGTAATTTTGCTACTGTTATGAATCAGGTGACCCCTGTGAAAAGGTCGCTCGAACCCCAAAGGGGTCGCGACCCACAGGTTGAAAACCGCTGATCTATACTGTAACTTTATTATATTTTATTTTATATTACTTTATTGAAAATACATTATGTTCTACTGGGAGGGTGGAGTGAGGGTGGGTTGGAAAGGGGGAATCGATTACAAGGATCTACATATAACCTCCTCTCTGGGGGACAGACAACAGAAAAGTGAGTGAAGGGAGACGTTGGGCAGTGTAAGATATGACAAAATAATTATTAAGGGTTCATGATGGAGTGGGGAGTGGAGAGGGAGGGGGAAAATGAGGAGCTGATGCCAGGGGCTTAGGTGGAAAGCAAATATTTTGAGGATGAGGGCAATGAATGTACAAATGTGCCTTACACAATTGATGTATATGTGGCTTGTGCTAAGAGTTGTATGAGCCCCTAATAAAATGATTTTTAAAAAATACATTGTTCTTTAGAAAACTTCAATGCTTGCTAACTGTTCAAGTCATTAATTTTTTGACTAAAACATTCCATCAAATACTCACCATTAACTTGTAGATTTCCAAACCACTGCTGCACCATTTCAGCCTGAGATGTCTGGTCTGAAAATGGAAAGGGATTTTTTCTTGGACCAAGATGATTGGAGCTAAATGTGGAAAAGAATAAAATCAATTCCCATAAGTAAATGAAAAATTATCTGGTAATTTTAAAAGTAAAAATAGATGGGGAGATTTCTCGTGATTTGAATATAACTGAACTTCCCAGAATACTTGTACAATTAATACTTAGATAGGCTCAGCTTTTCTCTATAAGCATAAAAGGAAACTAAAGTCTTTAGTATTAGATGTATACATTCATGAATATCTATACTTATTTTTTAGATCTTTGACCCACAATTGAAAATCTCTGATTTTCCTCTTAAAAAAAATAACCATCATAATTGAGAATTACCCCAGGAAGATCAGAGAAAATGTATTCCTTATCCTAAGAACTCCCCTGCTTTCAGTTAGATATAGCTTCACATTTATGCAAATACTTGACAAAAATTTAAATATTTTTGATATGTTCTTACAGTGCTTGATCGTTGTCAGATCTTTCAAAAGATGCAGGACTATGAGACACTTTTCCTTTAAAGAAGGGAAAGATATTGGCATTGCTGTTTGTAGGCGAGTCTCTCTCTTCATCTGCTCCTGATCTCTTAGACATTGCAAGCAGTTCTGCTGAGTGACAGCGTTCCATTGTATAGGTTTTTGCTCGAGACTGACTACTAGAAGTGCCAGATCTGTCAGAGGAATGGGCTCTACGAAGGTATCGAGAATGTGGCCTTTCTTCTCTGTCTTGCATTCCTCTTCCCCTTCCAATATTGGTAGTTTCTTGTTCTTGATTTCCCCATTGGGTATAAAAACTACTTCCATCTCCTGAAGAGGAAAAATCACTTGAGTTTTTATTCTTTGGAAATAGAGTCATTTTACTTGGGAGTGGCTGACCAATCAAAAGTCTTCTCCTATCAAATAAACTACCACTTACGCTGGTACTGGAAGAAGCTGTAATGGCAGTAGAAATGGTAGCATGTCCACTATCAATGGAGTCTTCTACAGTTCCCAAGTCTTTGCTTTTTGTTGAAGAATTTCGGGACATAAAAGAATGGTCTAATACTGAAGACAGACTTAAACGATCTGCTGGATTTCTACGAAGTAACTGATGAATAAGGTCTCTGGCCTCTCTTGACAAAAAAGGTGGTACCTCATAATCTGCCAACACTACTTTATTCAGCGTGTTCTTGACTGTATCAGTGTCAAAAGGTGGTCTCCCAATAAGTAATGTATAAAACATACAGCCCAAGGACCAAACATCAGATTCAAGTCCATGTGCACTTCGAGTTGCAATTTCTGGTGAAATGTAATTAGGAGTTCCACATAACGTATAATGCTTTTCCTGTGGCATTTTCAATTGAGTTGCCAAACCAAAATCCGCAATCTTGATGTTCATATTACGTGTCAGTAAGATGTTAGAAAGTGTAAGGTCCCGATGTAATATCCCATGAGAATGAAGATACAACATTCCTGTGATGATCTGATGCATGAAGTGTCGAGCTGTCAGGACACAAAAAAAGAACACTTTAAAAAATCTGGAAAATTCAAGACTGTGAATGCATTATGGTATCCAGGTATATAGGTCAGAGTATTATATTTAAACACTGGTTTGTGGCCAGTTTTATCACCAAAACACCATTGTGATCACTTCATAATTTTCTCTAATTCTCTTTAAAATAACTAGGCACTCCCTTTTAATCTTTTCCATTTCAACGGGTAAATTTTCAATATGTAGTCAAGGGAAGCTAAATTTTATTAGCACTTAGGATTTATTAGAGTAACTACACTAACCAAAAATTCATAGCAATTAAGGTAAATAATAATTTATAATTACACAAGAAATTCTTAAAGAAAAGTTCGGCCAAACAAACCTACTGCCATTGAGAGAATTCTGGTTCATAAGTTATTCTCTGAGAGAGCAGACCAGTTTCACATGGTTTCTGAGACTATAACCTAACAGGAGCAGACAGGGTCACCTTCTTCCTTGAAACAGTCGATGGGTCTGAAAGGCCGTAAACCTTTGCAAGATCAGACAGCCCAAATGGTCTCTGCAGAGCAGCTAGCGAGTTCAAAATGCTGACACTATAGTTAGCAGCCCAATGCATAACCCACCCGGCAACTATGGTTTACATATTTTTAAATCTCGATATATATATATTACAGTAAACGTCCATTAAAAATAGTAGCAAAATCTGTTTCATTACTTTGTTCTACTTTATAATACTTGAAGATATCTCTGTCAGCACACACAGACCTTCATTTTATTTAATTGAACATTGGGATCATTTGTGATATTAAATATAGCAATAAACATTTTCATGCTTATTGTTTTGTGTGTATACAGTGTTTTTCCTTATACTGCATTCCAAGAAACAGAACCACCTGGATGAAAGATACTTTATTTTAGTTGGCATTCCATAAATACTCTTGAATTTGAGCATTTCTTCATGTTAATTTTACTTTATTTTCAAGTTTCCACTGTCCAATTTTCCATTTAAAATCCTTTTTCTTTCTATGTAACACATATTTTTAACAAGAATTTGCCAGCTAAGTATTTTACAAATATTTTCTTCCCACTAAAAAAATTTTTTTGTTGATAATATTTTTGTCATACACAATTAAAAAAAATTAAGTCAAAATAATAATTTTTTCCTTACATCTTTCCCAAGTTCTTTTTGAAGGTGACCTTTGTACAAATTATAGGCACTATTTCTTTGTTATCTCCTAATATGTTTTACAGATTTAAGTATTGTTTATGCTTGCAACTCCTAAATTAAACCTGAAGGCTACATCTCTATTATATGAAAATTATAATGACCTACTTGACATCTCCCGTTTAGCTATCTGTGCTAATTTTACTTGACCTAAACATTCTTAATTTTTTTTTTTTTGTAGGGAAAAGAAAGGCTTTATTTAGACAAACAGTTGCTGTTCATTTCTGTGTTTCTGGACATCAAGAGTTGGTTCTGGTTAAAGGTAGCTGTCCTTCCTCTCTTCTCCAAGAACTCCTCCCCTGAAACAGTTTGCTTTTAATTCCATCATCACTACGCCAGACTTCCCGTCAATGGCCCCACAATCACTGTTCATCAATCCAGACACAAGGTAGAATACTAATCCCGCCTTCTTTTTAGCTATCCCAACTGTTTCTTCAGCCAGATCAGTCCACTTCCTAAATAAACATGAAACTCTCCATCTTTCTTCCATTTATCCTGTCACCACTCTGGTGCAGGCTACCATGATTTCTGATCCACTCTAACAAGTCTGCCCGTTTCCCTGGCTGCTCCCAATTTCACATACATGAAAACTGATGATCCTCTTAAATATAAATTAGATAATATCATTATCCACAAAACGTTTCCCAAGGTACTTTAAGATAAGGGGCTGCTATGGCACTGCAGATAGTTCTATGTGTTCCCTTTAAAATAACTTATTAAGCTGTACATTTTTGTTTATCTGTTACAGTTCACTCCAAAACCATAAAAAGCACAGATGATGGGAAAATTCCTTATTGTGATGAATCCTATTGCCTGTTTATGCCTCTAATCTAGTTCTGTAGACTTGTCTTTGCTCACTGAGCTCTACCTACTTACTCCAGCCTTCCCTTGGTCCTCAGTACCCTTAATAACTTTTGTGCCCTACAGCTTCTGCACTGGCTCGTTCTCCCCTTTAGCTCTCAGTTTATATGTGGCCTCCCTGGAAGCTTTACCAGCTCACGGTAACTTCTATTAATTTAGGTCTTTCTCAATGACTTTAATTTCTTTGATCATTTCATTTTCAGCCCTCAATTGTATTTGCGATTTTGTCATTGGCTAATTATTTATTTTCTGGAAATCTCTCCCAGTAAGAGAAACTTTAAGAGGGCACGACTGTGAGATGTGTGAAGATAACTCATTCCTAGCATCTGGCTTTGGCATCAGCACCTGTTGTAACTAGTTGGCCATCAATTCAGGATCATGGTAACACCCGGGTGTCAAAGTAAAATTGTGAAACACAAGGGTTTTTTGTGATTATTGTGGTTTTGGAGAAAATTTACATCGCAAATTAGGTTCATTTAACCATTTCTATGCATAGTGTTCAGTGACACTGGTTACACTTTTCACAATGGGCCATCATTCTCATGAATGAAAATAATTCAGGTTGTTCTTTTTCCATGAATCTAGCTTCATTTGCCTTCTTATATTTTGTCAAAGGTAAATGTTTCCTATGTCTCACTAAGATTATTGTTTATAAAGGAACACAGTACTCATAGGTAATATTTATTTTGAGTCATTCTTTCTTTTGATGAACAGGTGAACTCTAGGAGTGGGTTGAGTTTTGGATGTTCTCTTGTTTCTGGCTTTTTAGGAATTTGAGTTTTGTTCTACACCCCCTACTCCCCATTCTACCACAGATCATCTATTGCATCTCCCTGGCTTGGGCACACAAGAGTGGAACAGGGGTAGCTAGGCAACATCTAGTTTCAGGTCTTAAGGTAGGTGAAGTCCAGGTGTATGTAGGAGATTTGTCATGTACAAGAGTTTCTTCTTTTGAGTCTTTGATTTCATTCTTTTTCTGTTGTTCCAGATACACAAAGAACAATAATTATATCTTAAGTGACTATTCACCAACTTTTAAGGACCTTACTGACCAAACTAGGATGTAGAACATTATCTTTACAAGCTATATTATACCAACTGACCAAATTGCTCCTGAGACTACTGTTCTAAGCCCACAAACCCAAGCTTGGGAAGTTTTGTATATCTGGAAAATATTTATAATTGTTCCCACTACGTGCTTTATTTTATATGTGAACATATACAGCACCATAAAGTTACATTTACCCACAAAATCACCTATGTAGGCCCACTGTATATTCATATCCTTACACATACACTGAATGTACTTCAAAACGTTGGTGGAAAACTGAATTTAAAAATAAGCATACATATGTAACCAAATACAATTTTAAGTTGTTATTATTGTTGCAAAATTCTGTGTTGTGGCTTTTACCTACATTATTGTATACTTAGGTCATCTTTTACCTTGATCAAGTTGTACTAACTTCAACTTATTGCTTTCCAAAAACCAAACTCATTGCTATCGATTCTATAGGGCTGAGTAGAACTGCCTCTGTGAGATTCTAAGACTGAGTATTTATGGGAGTAGAAAGCATCATCTTCCTCCACTGGAGTGGCTGGCGGTTTCGAACTGCTGACCTTATGGTTAGCAGCCTATTGTGTAACTCAGTATGCCACCAGAGCTACTCATTATTTATTGCCTTGGTGTATACTATCTAAAGGAGCAGTTCTCAACTTGTGGGTCACGACCCCTTTGGGGTCAAAAAACCCTTTCACAGGGGTCACCCGATTCATAACAGTAGCAAAATTACAGTTAGGAAGTAGCAACGAAAATAATTTTATGGTTGGGGGGGATCACCACAACATGAGGAACTATATTAAAAGGTCACTGCGCTAGGAAGGTTGAGAACCACTGATCTAAAGGCTGTGACCTTCTGGAAGCAGAATAACAGGCTTGCCCTCTGAGGAGTCTCTGTGTAGGTATTTGTGCCACCCAGAAATTCCAACTGGCACCTAAACCAAACCCAATGCCAGAGTTGACCCATATCAACCCTATAGGACAGAATGGAACTGCCCTATATGGGTTCTAAGATTGCAAACCTTTGGGGAGGCTTTTTTTGCCCCCCCCCAACAGTTTTATTGGCTTATAATTCATAGATTGTACAATTCAATAGTTCAATCACATCAAGAAGAGTTGGAAAATCATCATCACAATCAATTTTAGAACATTTTCTTCATTCTTATACTCATTATTAGCTCCCCATTTCCCCTCAACCTTCCTTGCCATATCCCCCAGGCAGTCCAGTTACTGTCTCTACAGATTAACCTATCCTGGATTTAGATAGCAGAGTTGTGCAGCGGAAGTGTGCTGGGCCCATAACCTATCCTGGATTTCACACACAGGAGACATTCAAATACAAGGCAACAAACAAAAAACCTAACAATACCGAGGTAAAACAGATAAAAACCTTGATGTATGTATGGATTGTGATAAGAGTTGTATGAGCCCCTAATAAAATGATTAAAAAAATAATAATAAAGTCAACTATGAGGAAAAAAAACTCAGATTAAAAACCTCAATTGAAAAGCAGAAAATATTAAAAACTACAAAAAATTTAAATAGATCCTAAGGAAGATCAAATGATAGGGTGCTAAATGTTAACCTAACTGCATCTGCAACAATCCCCTTTCCAATGCATTTTCCATGCTAGCAAGGTTATTCACATCCCTGGTCCATGGTTACAGGGGACTCACCAGAGGCTTAATCCATGTGTATTTCCCCTTCACTTTTTAATAGTGGAAACAGCTTTAACATAGGTCTAAAGGGAGGTCAAATGATAAAATATTACATTTTGACCTCACTACAGAAACCAGATGTTCATAATTTAAGTTCTGATGCCATTCTCTCCTTTAGATTTATATTACATTATTTCAATCCTTGGATCACATAGGCTGGTGCACTTCTTCCACGTGGACTTAGTTGACACCTCACTTAGATGGCTGCTTGTTTGAAAATAAGTCTTTTAAGATCTGAGACACTATTCTTTTCGATAGCTGGGCACCATCTAGTTTCTTCACCACACTTAGATATAACACCCATATCTTCAGGGATCTCTTCATGAGTTGAACATCAAGTAGGGTCATATCATAAGAACTGTTCTTCTTTTGGGGCTAGAAAGAAGTGCAAGTAAGGCTGTAAATCTTTACAGAAGCAGACTACCACAACTTTCCTCTGCGAACAGTGACAGGTTTGAATTACCAACCTTTCAGTTAGCAGTTGAGCACTTTAACTCTTGTGCCACCACAGCTCAGTTGGCACCTAAATGAAAAATCCACTGCCGTCAAATCACTTTCAATGAATAGCGATCTTATATAAGGTTTCAGAGTCCGTAAATCTTTATGGGAGCAGAGTCTCATCTTTATCCCTCAGAGCTGCTGGTAGATTTGAACTGCCCACCTACTGGTTACGAGGCCAACAGTTACCCAACAGTACCACCATCGAAAAAAATGAATAAATATACTAAAAAAAAATTACGTCTAGTATGGATTGGGATAACAGTTGTATGAGCCCCTAATAAAATGTTAAAAAAAAAATTACATCTAATACATCAAGAATTTAATCAATTATATAGTGGGGAACAATGCTAGTTTTGTTCTCCCAAATGACACTAATTGTCTAAGAACTGTTCACTTAATAGTTTCATTGTTGGACTTTAAATGCTATATCAAATCCTAAAGTTTCATTTATAAACAAATCTGCTTTGCTTGCAACAATTGATATAATTTTATCAAACAGCACATATTACAAAATAGCACATTCTTCAAAATCAAAATTTAACAGACAAAACTCATAATTAGGAGAGGGCGGAGAAAGCCTACCTTCATCTTCTGAGAAGGGCTTCATTCTGCTCTTCAAGTATCTGTTCATTTCTCCATTGTGACACATTTCTAGTACCAGGTACACGTAATTGCTATCTTCAAAATAGTTATAAAGCTGAAATGTAAAAATGAGTAAGTTATAATAGACAAAAAAATCCGGTCTCTTTGACAGCTTCTATAGGATGTGTATCTTACCTCCAAGATAGAAGGATGTTTCAATTGGCAGTGTATTTTCACCTCATTTTGGACTCTTTGTACCATTCCAGCTTTATACATGGCTTTCTTATCTATCTAAAAATAACAAACAATGGGTTTAAATGTTGATAAAGTTTCAGACGTGAAATTGTCAAAAGTCAACTCTGGACCATACAACTCAGCAATTCCACTCAAAGAAACCTTGAAAACAGAGCCCTGCATGTCAATGTTTATGCATTTACTCACAGAAGCCAAAAGGTGGAAAACCACTTAAGGGTCCATTAGAAGGTAAATGGATAAATAAAATGTGTTACAAATAAATCTGTGTTTGTGTATTGATTATTCAGCAATAAAGGCAAATGAAGTTCTGATACATACCATTATGGAGAAACCCCAAAAACATTACACTAAATGAAGTAAGTCAGACATACAAGGACACGTATTACATGTTCTCATTTATACAGCCTCCCCTTTTTCTTTCCTTTTGAGATACCTAAGAAGTTCTACAAAGAAATGCACTTTCCTTCAAAACAAATCTCCATTTGTTTTATGTGAACGTGAACATAGCAAATTAGTTTCCCATTCAACAATTTATACACACATTGTCTATGACATCTGTTGTTCCCCTTGCATTATGTGAGCAGTCCCGTTTCCATCCTACTTCCAATTGCCCTGTCCTTTTGAGCAAATGCTTCCCATGAGCTCTACTGTTGGTTTTCCAGCCAAGCAAATTATTGATTGCTTATTTTATAAGCTAATCTATTACTGAACTAAAAGGTGATCTCTAGGAGTGCTTGGCTTTCAAAAGGGTAAAAGAATATCGTAGAGATATAGTCTTAGCGATTCCTGCAGTTTCTATTCGTCTAGCAAGTTTGATCTTTTTAATGAATTTTGAGTTTTATTGCACATTTTTTTCTACCATTTTCCATCTGGTCCCAGGGTAGATGAGATGGTGGTCTGTGCAGGTCACTAGCCCTGTGGACTAATTGCTTCCTTAACAATTTGGTTTTCTTCATTCTCCTTTGCTCCAGATACAAACAGATTCATAGTTATTCCACAGAGAAGTTTTAAAATTACCAATCTTCTGAGGCTGCTTTCCACAACCAAACTCACTGCCATTGAGTTGACGCCGAATCATAGTGATCCATAACGCAAGGTAAAATTACCCATGTGGGTTTCGGAGATGTACTGAGTAAAAAGCCCCGAAGCTACTTTACAGAAGGGAAAATGTGGACCAAAGAAGTTAGAGGCCTGTTTATTTGCTTTACAGTTCCACAACACCTAACACTGTAAAGAGTGTATGAAGAATCAATATAGATAACTGATGGGAAGTATCAGGATTGAAAAACAAAAAACAGCTTAATTTCTCTAGGCTGCAGTTACCTAACCTGTAAAATGGAAAGAAAAGCATCATTCTGATGGCAACATATGTACGAATGTGCTGGACACAAATGATGTATGTACGGATTGTGAAAAGTTGTATGAGCCCCTAATAAAATGATTAAAAAAGAAAAAAGAACAGCATCTTTCGCAGGATAGTATGTGTTTAGCAACAACAAATGCACTGCCATAGGGTTAATTCCCATTCATGGAGCATGCACCGCCCCTGTAGGTTTCCAAGACTGTAAAAAAGTCTCATCTTTCTCCAGTGGAGTGGCTGGTGACTTTGAACTGCTGACCTTTCAGGTTGTAACCCAAGGTGTAAAAATGTGTTTAAAACAATTATAAAATACAGTAAAATCTAGGAGAGGCAGAACCTAGGCAAGGTGGAAGTCTATCAGAAAAGGAAAACGCAAATATTGTCCACAAAACAAGGGGCAGAAAAGAGCTAAGATTTTACCCTGCCAAAAGCAGAAGGCACAGAAAAATAAGGCAGTCCTTTCCAGTTCTGCCTTTCACTGTAATTATAATTTAAAAGTTAACATTTAAAAAAAAAACACTTCAACTTGTCGGTTTCGTGTACTTTTACCTCCTTTATGAAGCACAGTTGTTGTTTATTTCCCCGTGCACCTAATAGAGTGCTTGCTAGTGCATACTCACGTTTTTCCAATACATTCTGACAGAGCAACCTTCCAACAGAAACAAATTTATTCCACCTCCAAAACAAAACTTCCTTTCCTTTTCCCAGTTGTACATTTGTTAGTCTTGTTGGACTCATTTCCAACAATCAAAAATAGTATTTTGGATTAATTCTGATAGAGTGTGCAAGTCAGAATTCTGCACAAGTATATGCTTAATTCTTTGTTTCACGTTTCTACAAATTGCGCCAAGCACACATAATCACAACAGGTACCCTGTCTATTGATCAGCATTGAAGATGAAACACGTATGTACGACATAATGAAATTAAGCAAGGTCAAGGCTCTCCAAAGATGTCCTTAGGCTCAATTGCTGAACTTGGCTGTTCCCTTGCCTAAGCAATGAGTTCTTCGCATAATCAAAGAAAAGGCTGACAGTTAAGGGAATCGCTGACATCTCAAATAACACCTCTTTAGTTACTCGAGAGAAGTTGATTAATATGTTCTTACCATTTTGATTGCAACTTCCAAACCGGTGTGAATGGACTCAGCCCTGTAGACACCAGCAAACGATCCCTTACCGAGCAGACTTCCAACTTTAAAGTCCTTCAAAGTTAAAAATGAGAGATTACGTGTGATGAGTCATGGGAGTCGAAAGGCAAGCTGAGAGTTGGAAAGGAGAGTGGAAATGTAAAAATGCATCGAGCAGTGGCATTTGACAAAATTCGGACTGGTCCCACACACCTCGATAGAGCAGGTGCTGGAGGTGGGTTGCATGTTGCTCCCGGTGCCTCCTCCAGGCTGGGCTGCACACTGAGCAGAG